CTGGGCGTGCTCTCATAGTTGGGAAACTTGATTCTCCTTATCGCGGCTCGGCGACGCATCTCCTTGGACTGCCTTGGCCTGGAGTAGGGGACGCAGGACATGGTCCGAGCGTAGCTGTCTGAAGTGGACGGTGATGGAGATACGTAATTATCAAAGAGGCGAAGCGGGGTGCTGGTTGAGTGAGAGAACCTGATCCTCCTTGCCACGGACCGAGGACGTGGTTCATGCGGCTCCCTGGGGTAGGAGAGGCAGGACATGTCCGCAGAGCTCTTGTCAAAAAGAGAGGACGCCGGGGAAGCGAAGTAATCCGAGAGACGTAGAGGAAGGCGGCAAGGGCTCTCATCTTGGTGAGTAGATAAGATATGGCTTCGTACGGTGCTCGTACTAGAGAAGGACATGGCTTCATTGTCCATGGCTAAAGACGCGTCGGACATATTGGCGCGCAGTCAAGTTCTCTTAGGGGAGAGCTGTCAAGGTCTGGCTGGACCAATGGCGCCACACACCACGAAGGGTGCGTATTGAGCGCGACAATTAGCGTTACCAAGCGCGACAATTCCACAACTGCTGCTAAAACTGAACGCACGCTTCACACCACAATAAATTTGTCTAATTAGCGCACCTTGAGTCACTGAACACTAACGCTTCAGTACGGAATTTATCAAGTGAAGCGGAGAGCAAAGTGGAGAGGTGTAATCAACCAGTGTTGCCCCTCCACAACCGCTGGTTGTGGGAGGTAGTTCCCTCCTTCACGGTGTCCCATATTAGTGTACGTTATACAGTACATATTACTGGGTAAATTCAAAATACAAATCCAGACCTGGGTAAATACAATCAATGGGTATAAATTGGGTAAAATCAGTGCACAAATGCTCGTAATACGTATATTAGAACAACCACAAGTATAATACGTGAGCTGGCTGTGTTTACATAGACGTATCATACAATGTTTACATTACACAATAAAAGTATTGGACCAAGTAAGACAGTTCCCGCGTCTGTTTACACTTATCCTGTTTGTAAATGTTTCGGGTTTTATTATATATTTTATTATTTTAGTATATTTGAACCTTATTAGGAAGCATTGAGACTTTATAGTCTTTAACATTAAACTTTTGAATAAAAGTGTCACGTGTTCACAGTGTTCAAGATAGAACTCGATAAACACCTCCGAACAATACCTGATCAACCAAGCTGTGATTTATACGTCAGGCTGCGAGCAGCCACCTTCAACAGCCTTATTGATCAGACGACCAACTGGGAGGTCTGGTGGGAGACAGGTCAGGTAGTCTGGTGTCAGACCATAGATCTCCGGAATGGGATGCCGGGGGAACACTGGATATAAAATGGATAAGTTTAGATTTAGGAAAGACCTGGGTAAATACAATGGGTAAATTCAAAATACAAATCCAGACCTGGGTAAATACAATCAATGGGTATAAATTGGGTAAAATCAGTGCACAAATGCTCGTAATACGGCAAAAGAACAATGGGATTTATTAAGCGAAGCGTTAGTAATATGACACCCCTTATATGTATGTACTTTACCTAAATAAATATTTGAATTTGACACCTGGTGGTGTTTTGCAGGTATATTTTGCTCTGGCTATGACCCATTTAAGAACATAAGAACAAAGGTAACTGCAGAAGGCCTATTGGCCCATACTAGGCAGCTCCTATCTATAGCCACCCAATCCCACTTATCAGCCAACCAAGGGACCTTGATTAGCTTGAAACAATCGAGGGACCCCACCTCCACCACGTTATGCGGTAATTGGTTCCACATATCAACAACTCTGTTGCCGAACCAGTATTTACCCAAGTCTTTCCTAAATCTAAACCTATCCAATTTATACCCATTGTTTCGTGTTCTGTCTTGTGTTGATATGTTGTGGTTTTAGATTCAGCTACTCGGAACTAAAGTTCTAAGTAGCACGGGCTATGGTGAGCCCGTAGTGTACTTACCTGGCACAGGAGCGGGGCTGTAACTGGTGTTGATACTTTTAATACCCTATTAATATCCCCCTTTGTTATGTCCATTCATCCACTTGTAAACCTCTATCATGTCACCCCTAACTTTTCGCCTTTCCAGTAAATGCAATTTAAGCTTTGATAATCTTTTATATGAGTGGGATTGGGTGGTTATAGATAGGAGCTGCCTCGTATGGGCCAATAGGCCTTCTGCAGTTACCTTTGTTCTTATGTTCTCTCTTCATATGAAAGATTTCTAATCTGGGGAATTAACTTTGTCATCCTACGCTGGACACGTTCAAGTGAATTTATATCCATTCTATAGTACGGCGACCAAAACTGAACTGCATAATCTAAATGGGGCCTAACCAGAGCTGAAAAAACCACACCAGGTGTCTTGTTACTAACGCTTCGATTAATAAATCCCAGTGTCCTATTTGCCTTACTACGAACATTGATCAGGTGGTTTTAAATTCTTACTAATCATAACTCCCAGATCGCAATTCGACTTCGCAATCTCAACACCATCCAGCTCGTATCTTGTAACTCTATCATCATTACCTGGCCTCAGAACTTTACATTTATCAGCATTAAACTGCATCTGCCAATCTTTTGACCATTTCAAAACTCCATTTGAATAGTCATAAAGAAAGGACATAACAAAGGAGACATTAATAGGGTATTAAAAGTATCAGCACAATCAGAACACGAACCAATGGGTTTAAACTGGATAAGTTTAGATTTAGGAAATACCTGGGTAAATACTGGTTCAGTAACAGGGTTGTTGATTTTTTAAACCAATTACCGCGTAACGAGGTGGAGGTGGGGGTCTCGTGATTGTTTCAAGCGTGGGTTGGACATTTATATGAGTTTGATTGGGTGGTTATAAATCGGAGCTGCCTCGTCTGAGCCAATAGGCCTTCTGCAGTTACCTTTATTCTTATGTTGTTATTGGGTATTAACTGTATCAACATAAGATAGAACATGAAACACTGGGTATAAACTGGATAATTTTAGATTTAAGAAATACCTGGGTAAATACGGGTTCGGTAACAGGGTTGTTGGTTTTTGGAACCAATTACCGCGTAACGTGGTGGAGGTGGGGTCCCTCGATTGTTTCAAGCGTGGGTTGGACATGTATATTAGTGGAATTGGGTGGTTATAAATAGGAGCTGCCTCGTATGGGCCAATAGGCCTTCTGCAGTTACCTGTATTCTTATGTTCTTAAGACAGTGAGTTAACAAACCCACAATCGCCGTAACGAGGGTTCGAACCTACATCGAAGAGGATCCCAGATGCCCCTTAATCGACTGAGCTACGACATGGTCAAAAGAATTGCAACCGGGAAATCAACTTGACTTACCACGAATCCTGCAGTCTTTCCGAGACACAAACCAGTTTTTTACACAATTCCCCCCATGCACCCGAGCTCTGTCAATAAGCTATTCTACCTCTTCGCCCTTACTTCATTACACACAGAAATCGTAGAAATCAGACGTAGGTTCGAACCCTCGTCACGGCTCTTGTGGATTTGTTCATCTGATGCATCACACTATTGTGATTTCTGTGTAATGAAGTAATGGACAGTAAGGGACTATATTGACATCGAAGTAGGAGGTGGACTAGGGAACAGTGATCATAAAGAAATCAGATTTAGCATAGAATGGAATAGATCTGTAGGAGAAAATTCTGTTAAAGTGCCAGATTATCGATAAGCTGATTTTAATAGCCTAAGAAATTTCTAGAGTCAAATAGATAAGAACATAAGAAAAAAGGTAACTGCAGAAGGCCCATACGAGGCAGCTTCTATCTATAACCACCCAATCCCACTCATATACATGTCCAACCCGCGCTTGAAACAATCGAGGGACCCCACCTCCACCACGTTACGCGGTAATTGGTTCCACAAATCAACAATCCTGTTTATACCCATTGTTACCGAACCAGTATTTACCAAAGTCTTTCCTAAATCTAAACTTATCCAATTTATACCCATTGTTTCGTGTTCTGTCTTGTGTTGATACATTTAATACTCTATTTAAGAACATAAGAACAATGTGACTGCAGAAGGCCTATTGGCCCATACGAGGCAGCTCCTATTTATAACCACCCAATCCCACTCATATACATGTCCAAAGTGCGCTTGAAACAATCGAGGGACCCCACCTCCACCACGTTACGCGGTAATTGGTTCCACAAATCAACAACCCTGTGTTACGACCCTGGGTTCTTATTTGGAAACCAGAGGTCAATTTGAGCTCCACCACGTCCGATCCGTGGTAGGGCAGGATGATTTTCCGATTGCAATTATTTTACCATGTTGTAGCTTAGTCGATTAATTCAGCGTTTGTGATCCTCTCGGACGTAGGTTCGAACCCGCGTCACAGCCCTTATGGATTTGTACACACTTTTATTACCTCCTTTCTCCATATCAATTCCCATACCTTATCTACTAACAGTTTAAACCCAAACCCAAACAAACGCCTCCAACCACTGGTTCCAACGAGTTCGCCACAACAACCACCCCAGCCCTCGATAGATGCGCCCCATCCCGAGCATACATTTCATTTCTTCCGTAGAAGTGTTCCCAGTTGTCTATGAAAGATATTGCATTTGATTTGCAATATTTTTCCAGTCGACAATTGACACCAAGTACCCTCGACAACCATTCATTTCCCACTCCCTTTCATGGCAGAATGCCACTATGATCGGGATTCCTCCCTTGCTCCTATCTCATTATATGGTTGTCTTAATCCTCTGTATCAGTGCCTCACTCCCAACTCGTCCAACGTCATTTCCACCTGCATTCATACAAATAATGGGTTCGTTCCCATTTCCACAGGACGGGAGAGACATCTCCCGCCAACACATCACAAGGCGCAGTGTGGTCACAATGCGACCCAAACGTCTTAAGGTCAGAGCGACTCCACTGGACGGTCATGCTATCGGAAGAAGCAATACTTTAAAGGTCGTGAAGGACGTTACTGGCCTCAAACCCGCTGACATTAGTCAGGAAGGTGAAGATATCGTGCTCTACTTTTCATGTGAAGAGGAGCTAGAAAAACTCCTCACTAACGATGCCTTTCTTCGCAAAGAGCGCCACCTACATCCTCACTTCCCACGTCAGTTCCTGGCCGGAAGAACTGTTTTTACCAGCAGGACTAGCCGGTGGATCGCTGAGCGACCTCAACATCAGATCATAAACAATATCGAGGACGAAAATCCAAACCTGTCGGTATTCAACCTAGAGTTCTGCAACACCGACAAAACATCAATGAAGATTACGTTCACCACCATAGCTGCGGCCACCCAGGCTGCCACACAAGGATTCTACTGCTTCGGCCTAAAAATACCACCCCACCAAATAAAAAAGGAACGATACCCTGAGACCCAGCAGTGCTTTAAGTGCTACGAGCTCTCCCACCCGACCAACAAGTGTCAGCACCCTGTCCAGAGGTGCAGCCTGTGGGCACTGGACCATCACTACTCCATATGCAAGGCAACAGTCCATCACTGCTTGCTCTGTGATGGCAATCACCCCGCAATTTCCTACCGCTGCCCCCGCAGACAGGAAAT